CGAAGGTCACAATACTATTAATCTCCAATCAATTCCCTGAGTCCGCTATTGAGACTCTAATCGTTTACCTAAAAAATATTATTTTGAAAACATGAGCTAAAAAGCCTAGTGAATTGAAAGGCATGTATATTCAAAGTGGCTAAAAAAAATATATTTGGCATATGACATGTAAATCAAAGGTTTGAAAAAAATAACTTCATCAAGATAACCAATTTCTCAAGAATAACACAATCGAATTCCAACAAGAAATCATACCACAATGGTGAATCATATCATAATGGTGGAGATTGTATGATATCCAATAATCAATGGGAACGAAATATCAAATACAATAACTGATAACAAGAAAATACGTATGGCATACGATAGATGATCATAAACAAAACTAGTAAAAATGTTGTGAAAAAAATAAATTATATCATCATCTCATTCTGGTAAGGACTTGTACGATATCTGAAAACCATACCAAATGTCAGAAGATCTCAAAGTTAGATCCAACACCGTACTTAGGGTCACCACGTATTACCGTCGGAGAACTGTTCCCTAAGACGATCCGGTGAAGGTCACCAAGACGCACCAGAAACTGTTCCTTCAACCGTTGAGCACTAGGGTCACCTCAACCTCCCTAGGTCTATTCCCCAGTGGCCAGAGTTACCCGCACACAGAGGAATAATTTCCCTGAACTTTTAACCAAATGCCAGAATATATCTCAAGGTTGGATCCAACATCGTACTTAGGGTCACCACAGCCTCTCCTGGATCTGTTCCCTAAGACAATCCAATGAAGGTCAACAGGACGCATCAAGCACTGTTCCTTCAACCATTGAGCACTAGGGTCACCTCAGCCTCCCCGAGTCTGTTCTCTAGTGCCCAGAGTCACCCGCACACAGAGGAATAATTTTCCTGGACTTTTAATCATGGTCTCATTCACTATCACAAAGTCTCACCATAGAAAAAAATGATTTGAGTCACAATAATTTACAAAAGAATTCATCAAGATAAGAGAATTCGTATGCCACGAGTATTTAGACACTTAGTAAGCATTATTGTGAAGGTAGTAAATAACAAAGATTATATATCATTTTTAAAATATTTCGGGATACGGGAAAAATACGTAGCATGCCAAACCATTCACCTCAAGTTTTAAGGAAATGTTTCTTGAGTGTTACTTGTTACTCGAAGTAGAGTGAGATGTTATCGATATCTTTCCTCCTCTCACAATTTCCTTTCTCTTTTGATGAGATACTCTTCCTTCTTTCTTCTCTCTTTTACTCTATTCTTTCTTGAAAATGGAAGACTACTTATGCACTTGTATCCTTAATCCAATTCCCAAATGCCCTATTTATAGGCATCCTAGGATTATTCTAGAGAATATTGACATGTGACACTTTTAGGGAAGATTCCCTAGAATATTCTACCATCTCCCTTTTCCTAGATCCTTCTAAATTTCAAGCTTATTTTGCACATGGCAATTTCACAAGTATCTAGATTCATCTATGATATTCTAAAGTCTTCTCCAACCTTTAACGTCATTCCAAAACTTTCCGGAATATTCTAAATCCCTCTAAAACCTTCTAGTATTTCCTAGAACCTTCTAAAATACTTTAGACTTCTCTAGATTGTTCTAGAACTTTCCGGATTCTTCTAGAACTTTTTAGAAACTTCTCCAACATTCTAGATTATTCTAAATTCTTCTTTAAAATTTTTTTTTATTCCTTCCAAAATAATATTCTCCAACTAGTTCCTTGCCAAAATGGAANTAGATTATTCTAAATTCTTCTTTAAAATTTTTTTTTATTCCTTCCAAAATAATATTCTCCAACTAGTTCCTTGCCAAAATGGAACGGGGTATTACACGGGTGAAGTTTCTCTTACAATACCAACGGAGAGGCATATCAACTGGTGAAGTGTGCCCATATACTTATTCACATTCCTATAAATAACTCCAAAGGCAAATATTATTTTAGGAACAATAAAACAATGTAATTACCTTGATAATTTCAGTGAGCCAACTATTATTATACATAACTAAAGGTCCAATATTTGCATCAATGGATCCAGCATACCAAATTGGTTTAATGTCATCTAATGGTGTAAACTTATAGGCTAATAATTTTAACACAAGTGAACCCTTCACTTGATATCAAAGTTCAAATTCTAATTAAAAAAAACACAAATTACAGTACACAGCCAAAAAGTTATGAACGAAATATAGGCCTAATAACTGCTCATATGGTAGTATGTCCTAACAATGCCCAGGTCCCAGAAAAAAACACATTTCATATGACTTCTAATGACCTTATCTTTTGGTTTATTGGTCTTAAGATCCTCATAAAATACATGTGTTTCATAGTATTTTGTACCAAAACACACGGTTTATGTAAGGATGAGTTGTTTAATATCCTTATATATCAAAACTCTATCGATGAAATATGTTATGTTATGTGTTATNAGTATTTTGTACCAAAACACACGGTTTATGTAAGGATGAGTTGTTTAATATCCTTATATATCAAAACTCTATCGATGAAATATGTTATGTTATGTGTTATTTTTAAAATATAACTTCTAGTGCTAAAACTTTAATGATTTGTTTGGTCACATGTGTTCACAACTACTACATATAATTCATTCCATAAATAAGAGAAAGTGGATTTAACTANATTTTTAAAATATAACTTCTAGTGCTAAAACTTTAATGATTTGTTTGGTCACATGTGCTCACAACTACTACATATAATTCATTCCATAAATAAGAGAAAGTGGATTTAACTATTACTCCAATCATCATATGTCCAACATATATTTATTGACTTCAATCTAGAAGTGAAGTGTCTGTTGTTAAAACAAATAAAAAATTAGTGATTATGCAGTTTGATGCTAGAATCAAAACTCTTGGAAGTTATGGAAATATGTATATTGATAGGGAACTTCGTCTTTGTCTCACACAGAATGGCATTCTTCATTAAATCACATCTGTTGATACATTTGAACAAAATGGTATTGCTAAGGACAAGCAATCTTCACCATCCGCGATTACTCGTTCCCTGATGCTTACTACAAATGTCCCTGATTCCTCGTTAGTCCAGCTACATATCTCATTGTCCTATACATATTGATTCGGAAGATTAGCTCAAAATCTGGGATTCTAGATATAGGAATTGGGTTTGTTTGCCATCAGTTGGTATGTCTGGTGGTTTTGTGATTATATGGGAGGAAAGAATTGTCATTGTTGAGAAGGTGCTACGGGGTGAATTCTCTATTTCTGTAAAGCTAAAAGTTTAGTGATGGGTGGAGTGGTGGTTAACTGGTGTGTATGGTCCCAATTGTCCTAGGGTACGCAGTCGATTTTGGTAGGAGTTCGCAGGGTTGTATGGCTTGTGTTCTCCTCGATGGTGTATGAGTGGTGATTTTAATATTGTTAGGTATCTTTCAGAAAAATTGAATGGTAAAAGAGTGACAAAAAGTATGCGGAATTTTAATTCTTTTATTAGGAAAACTAGGTTAAAGGATCCTCCTTTGAGTAATGGAACCTCTAATTGGTCAAATTTTAGAGATCATCCAATTTGTAAGAGGTGATCATTGTGTAAGCAAATGACATAGTAATAACGACATGGAGGAAGTCCCCAGACTTAGAGCTCATTTGGGTAAAGATTTCAAAATTAGAGACTTGAGTCTATTGAAATACCTCTAGGGATTAAGATTGCCAGAGTATTATTATCTCTCTAGTGCTCAAACATATATTGTTGTGCAATGGATGTTGTTATTAGTTCATGCATGATGCTTGTATCTATCACCTTAAAGTCATTTATGGTGTCTTGTTCTCCAATCATAATCACTTAAAGTTCAATGGAATATATGTTATTGCAACTTTTTTTTTTGGTCAAGATTGCAACTTGATTGAAGGGAACATTGTCAGTTGGCAAAGCAAGAAACAAGCTAAGGTAGCTTGGTCTACCGCACAGACTAAATACAAAAGCAAGAATTCATATAATTTATATTTGGGTTTAAATCTTAACAAGAGAGATAGGAGTTCATGATTATGAGTCCACATTATGACAACTAGACTTCTATTAGTTTCTCTAATCCATTTTAGTATGACAAAATCAAATATGTTAAGATTGACTAACACTTAATCAAGCAAAAATTAAAGAAGAGCTTTATTTGTATGTCTTCTGTGAAATTAGAGAATCGATTGGCAGAAGTTTCTGTTAAGGTGCTCAATAGCAAGATATTTCACTCCATTTCCCAAAGTCATGCATGAAAATATTGATGCACCAACTTGAGGGAGAGTGCTAGGTTTTTTTTTAGCTTAGGGATATTTTAGTGTTGTATATATCTTCATGTGCTCACACTTGATCTAGGGTCTAGTTGTGTGACTTCACTGACTACACTTCACATAATATTTTTTCCCCTCTCTTCTTCTTTTCCAAACCTTTAGGACTCCACAATCTAACCAAATATAATTCAATGCATCAGTAGATATATTGAAATTCTTATATAACAAACTTTCAATAAATATTCATCACAAGGNTTTTCCCCTCTCTTCTTCTTTTCCAAACCTTTAGGACTCCACAATCTAACCAAATATCATTCAATGCATCAGTAGATATATTGAAATTCTTATATAACAAACTTTCAATAAATATTCATCACAAGGGCTTATAAATTTTATAATACATTCCATAAACAAGTCAAAGTGGATGAATCAGTTATTTAAATCATCATCTCCCGAACGTTTGTCTTGCACATAGGACAAAGTGGATGTATCAGTATCAGTATCAAAACTCTTATTACACATAATTTAGATGTGCCAAATGGATGAGAATAAACTAATGAGTCTACAGATAAGAACACATAGATTTCTATGAATAGCTTCGACCTTTAGCGCGTGTGATATCCAATTCCAAATTGTTATGGACATTGCAAGTAATCAGCCTCAATGTCTTCAAGTTTAGGATCTTATTCTCAATGGTTTCCATGCTAAATCAGTCTTGAAATTTACGTTTCCTTTTTAAGTATAGCCCATGAACTGCTTCCTAATTTAATTTGGGTCCTCTGTTGGCTCTTTGTTCCATTTACAGTTCCAATCTGTAATTGACATCTCATATAGAAGATAATCTATCTGAAACTTATCAACGGAAACAACTTGGTTAAAAAAGGCTTACCAAAACTCTTGCAGCCAGTGTTCTAGAAGGATCTCTGTTTGCAAGTGTGTGCAGAGCTACCTCAGCTGCAGCATATTCTGCCTGTCTCAAAGTAGAGGAGAATGTAGGGCTTTCAAAAGTCTCCCCATTGAAGTTAACAGTTGCCTTAAATTGAGGAGCATGATCTGGTCCATCCCGAGTACAAGAATAAGATGGTAGGTTGAAGCAACTTCTCTGAGCCAATTCTTGCAATTGGTTTTTATACATGCATATATGTGGAAAATGCACATAAATAGACCAATTAAAGCTTCTCTTTTCCACTAGAGAGAGAGAGAGAGAGAGAGAGAGAGCAGTCTCATTCCCCTAAAATTGACCAAAGAAAATGAAATTGAAATGAGGTACCCCAATAGAATCATTCTCATTCAACTTAGTTTTTATTTTTTCCTTTTACATATTCCCAGCATCCAAAGAACCTTTGCATTTCTTTGTCACAAGAATAGCATCCAAAGGATTTTTTCATTGAGGACAGCACTGAAACTTGAATCAAAAAAAAAATGTTCACTCAGAAAGAGAAAACTACACATTCATGTGTCTACAGTACATCATCCCTCAATTACACAAAACAATTCAATCAAAGTAGTGGTTTCTTTCTCAGTTTTGTTGCATAGGAAACTAAAGAAAAGAAGTGAAAGACTATAATTTGATACACAGTGTGTTCCACAATTTTGTTTGGAAGATAAATTATGAACTCACGNCATTCATGTGTCTACAGTACATCATCCCTCAATTACACAAAACAATTCAATCAAAGTAGTGGTTTCTTTCTCAGTTTTGTTGCATAGGAAACTAAAGAAAAGAAGTGAAAGACTAAAATTTGATACACAGTGTGTTCCACAATTTTGTTTGGAAGATAAATTATGAACTCACGCCAACTAATCACAATGATTATATCACATCATGCTCTGTTCAGTAAGGGGTTAACACATAATCCACAATAAGAATTATAACAACTTAAAGTTGGTTGTGCTAAAGCAAAGGATTTTGGGGATCAATGTCGAACCACAAGAGAAAACTCAGGTCAAATGATAAATCATGAAGGGGCAGAATAAATTATCAGCCAAGATGCAACCTCACATTGAAGTCAAGAAAAGAGTAAAAGAACAATCTTCATCTCCAACTTCAGCGCAGTTCAGAACAGGTGCTCAAGACACCTCAAAATTTAGATGGCAGAAGTTAGGATGATCTCGACTGGTTTGTACAGTTTTACAAGAAATAAACACATGTTTGGCTTGAATTTATTAATAGAACACAATATTTTTTTTTCTTTTTTTTTCTTTTTTTTTTTTTTTGTTGGGAGGGGGAGGGGGGAAGGGGGCTTGAACCTTTAACCTCAAGAAGGCAAAGCCTTCACAAAATAAGGAGTATCATTGGACTAAAGACTTGAATTTATTAATAGAACACAATAAACCACTCAAATTAGTACTCCTTTACATGCAACATTTTAAGATCACATGGAGCTTTGGATCACATGTTTCAAGTGCTTCTCAAACATCACCTAAAACTCACTAAAACCTATGGAGAAGTTTAAAACAACACTATATGGATCGCAAATCAATTTGGTATTAGGGATAGGTCTGTACACATGGGACCACACTTTCTTAGGTGCAATGGAGTGTACTTAGCTGGTATGATGTTTCGAGTCACAATTTGTTATCAAATTCTATCTTGATCACTTTCACTAATATAAGAAAACTTATATAATTACACATCTATACAAACAAAGTCAACTAATATTTATTTTACATTTGTGATCAATTTCCTATTATTGGAAATTACATATAATTATGCCTTCATTACACAAATAGTCAATTAAATTTTTGTTTCACATTTGTGACACAAATTCTAAAGTGATTCAATTTTTGGTTAGGATTACAATTGTGGATCATAAGTTTACATAATCTAGATCAAAAACACACCCTGTATGGAATTGTTGCCCTTAGATCGCGGCTAGTCTAGGATTGAGTGATTTTTGGAAATTGTGGTTCAACATATTTTGCACCCAGCTTGCACCACTCTATTTCACATAGAAACCATCCTTAATGAGGACACACGTGAACGTAGCACCAAGGAAACTACCTCTACGAGTTCATACAAATGTAAAAGAACCATTTCAGGTTGGAAATATCTAACAAATTAAATAATCCGCCAGAGGGGTAATTGAGAAATCTAAGAGAGAGAGAGAGAATAATAAATCACTGAATTTTGGTCATCATGTTAACTCCAAAAAACTGAAGAGATGTAATCAATAAACAAAGTATTAGTAATACTCTAACCCAATCTTTCCCACTAATTTGATTTTAGCAGAGGAAATACGAAAACCAAACCTCAATCAAGCAAAACTGCAGCATATGTTCTTCGCTGTAGAGTACAAGGTTTTTGCTTCCTCAGATGAAAAAGGGAATGATAAGTTTAACCGGAAATATGGTCCATGATAGAGCACAATGGAGGAACAAGAACCGATCCCAGCTGACCCAAAGTAGCTGGGATAAAGAATTTGTTGACTTAAGTTGAGATTACAAACAATGGTAAGATTCAAGAACCAGCATTTTTATTCTTCTCTTTCGCTTAATTTTCCTTCAGCTACATTTTCTCAGCAACCAAACAGAACTAAAACCAGAGCAATACCCATAAAAGAATATCCCATATATAGAACATCCAAACCCATCTCAACACATCGATCAATAACCAAATTCACAGAAGCACAAAGTCGAAAACCCAATAAAACCACACCCAAAATTCAACTTGGTTATAAACCGGTATTACCAAATCAGACGCAGAGATATGAACGAAACGACAACAGTTATGGAAATTCTTGAACTGGGTATGAACGAAACTGAGAAGTGAAGTCACCTGTTATGGTCTCTGAGACTGTTTTGAATTTCACACCGTGGAGTCATCGAATTGGATGGTCGGACTTGGAGTGTGACTGAATTTTTATTTGTAACGCCATTCTATGAGACACACACACTCTCTCTCTCCCTCTCTCCCCCCCCCCCCTCCGCCGTCGTCAGTCTACTAAAATACTAGGCGCCGACGGAATTCACTGCTCACGGTGAAGGGTTTATAGCAAATTATAGTCCGAAAAAAGTTTTTAAAATTTCAATTTTTAGCATTAAAGATAAAAACTCTCGATATATCTATATTTGTACTACTTATAAATGTCAATATGTGCAAAAAAAAAAACTTTTGATTTTCTACTTAATCCCTAATTATTACACTAAAAATAATTATGTCCACAAAATATTAGCTAAATAAATTTTATCACTATAACTTCCAAATTTTTTGTTGGATAAATTTTATCACTAATATTCCAAAATTTTTACTATCTTTACTTCTTATAAATGTCAACATCTGTAAAAAAAAACNAAAACTTTTGATTTTCTACTTAATCCCTAATTATTACACTAAAAATAATTATGTCCACAAAATATTAGCTAAATAAATTTTATCACTATGACTTCCAAATTTTTTGTTGGATAAATTTTATCACTAATATTCCAAAATTTTTACTATCTTTACTCCTTATAAATGTCAACATCTGTAAAAAAAAACTTTTGATTTTCTATTTCACTCTTAATTATTATTCTAAAGACAATTATGCCCACAAAATATTAGTAAGATAAACTTCATCTCTATGACTTACAAATTTTTACACTACTTATAAATGTTAACATCGGTAAAAAAAATTTTGATTTTCTATTTCACCCCTAATTATTACACTAAAGACAATTATGCCCACAAAATATTAGGTAGATAAATTTTATCTCTATGACTTCCAAATTTTATGTTGGATAAATTTTATCACTAATATTCCAAAATTTTTGTTATCTTTATCTATACTTCCTATAAATGTTAGCATCTGCAAAAAAAATTTGATTTTCTATTTCACCCCTAACTATTATACTAAAGACAATTATACCCACAAATATTAGCTAAATAAATTTATCTCTATGACTTCCAAATTTTTTGTTGAATAAATTTTATTACTAATATTCCAAAATTTTTGCTAGATAAAATTTATTTCTATGACTTCTAAAATTTTTACTAGATAAACTTTATCACTATGACTTGTCAGTACATTCTTTTTTTCCATTCAATTCGACAAATTCAAATAGAATTCTAATATGATGTGAAAAAAAATTGTTATTTTTTAGGTGATAAACACAACAATCAAAAATTCATTATTCATTGTTATATAATAAAAAGATTATAAAAGTAAAGAGATAAACCCATATATGTTTCTTTCTTTCATACCTATTAGACTTTCAACATATTTTGAACAACTTTATTAGAAATATATATAAGTAGATATAGGAAGATAGACTTATATCTATCAAGTAACTCTATTAACATATTTGGTCTTATACATTTACAATAAATTTTTTCTTCAAAATCTTTTAAAGTTAGTGGTCTTTCATCTCTTTCTCCTTGACGTTAAGTATATTGTGGCTATAAAGAATGGTGNAAAATTTTTGTTATCTTTATCTATACTTCCTATAAATGTTAGCATCTGCAAAAAAATTTTGATTTTCTATTTCACCCCTAACTATTATACTAAAGACAATTATACCCACAAATATTAGCTAAATAAATTTATCTCTATGACTTCCAAATTTTTTGTTGAATAAATTTTATTACTAATATTCCAAAATTTTTGCTAGATAAAATTTATTTCTATGACTTCTAAAATTTTTACTAGATAAACTTTATCACTATGACTTGTCAGTACATTCTTTTTTTCCATTCAATTCGACAAATTCAAATAGAATTCTAATATGATGTGAAAAAAAATTGTTATTTTTTAGGTGATAAACACAACAATCAAAAATTCATTATTCATTGTTATATAATAAAAAGATTATAAAAGTAAAGAGATAAACCCATATATGTTTCTTTCTTTCATACCTATTAGACTTTCAACATATTTTGAACAACTTTATTAGAAATATATATAAGTAGATATAGGAAGATAGACTTATATCTATCAAGTAACTCTATTAACATANTCTCTTTCATACCTATTAGACTTTCAACATATTTTGAACAACTTTATTAGAAATATATATAAGTAGATATAGGAAGATAGACCTATATCTATCAAGTAACTCTATTAACATATTTGGTCTTATACATCTACAATAAATTTTTTCTTCAAAATCTTTTAAAATTAGTCGTCTTTCATCTCTTTCTCCTTGACGTTAAGTATATTGTGGCTATAAAGAATGGTGGGTCAACAGTTCTTGGTGTTGTCAACCTGTGAGCTTTTTTTTCTCTCTCAAGA